AAAAAAAAAAAAAAAAAAAAAAGAAAGAAAAGAAAAAGAAAATAAATAAATAAATATTTTGCAAAACTGTAATAGAGTATCGCAATCAGGATGTTGACCCTGATGCAATCCACCAATCTTACTCAGATTTCCCCATTTCACGTGTGTGTGTATGTGTGTGTGTGTAGTTCTGTAAAATGTCATTATCTCGTAGGCTTCTACTTCCACCCCAGATTGGTTGCATCCCACAGTGGTTGCCCACCCACCTCTGCACATCATCCCTAACCCCTTACAACCACTAATCTGTTCTCTAGTTCCACAATGTTATCATCTGTAAAACATTATTATAGATGCACTGGGTGTGGTGGGGTGTGCCTGTAGTCCCAGTAGACTTGGGAGGCTGAGGTAGGAAGATTGCTTGAGCCCATTGAGCTGTGATGATACCACTGCACTCCAGCCTGGGTGATGGAGCTCAAAAAATGTTATAAATGCCAGGTGCAGAGGCTCATACCTGTAATCTTAGTTCTCTGGGAGATGGAGAGTCTGGAGGATCCCTTGACCTTAGGAGTGGAATTCCAGACTAGCCTGAGCAAGACCAAGACCTATCTGTAAAAAAAATAGAAAAATTAGCCAGGTATTGTGGCAGGTGCCTATAGTCCCAGTTACTTGGGAGGCTGAGGCAAGAGAATTGCTTGAGCCCAAGAGTTTGAGGTTGCTGTTAGCTGTGACACCTGGCACTCTACTGAGGGTGACAAAGTGAGACTATGGCTAATAATTATTCTTACTGCACTCTATGCAAATAATCAGGCCAAGTATACTGAGAACAGTTTATTCTGGTAAATAAATTGATCCAGCTGAGATTTGTCTTTAATAAAATGGGAGATTAGTGGCTTGGCGCCTGTAACACAGTGGTTACTGTCCTGGCCACATACACTGAGGCTGGAGGGTTCGAACCTGGCCCAGGAGTTTGAGGTTGCTGTGAGCTAGGCTGATGCCACAGCACTTTAGCCTGGGGCAACAGAGTAGGACTCTGTCTCAAAAAAAATAAAAGTGTTATATAGAGTCATACATGTTATGACTGGGATTGGCTTTTCTGGCTCATCATAATTTCTGGAGCTCTATCTTGGTGTTTGCTTGCCATCTTTTCCTCCTCACTGTTGACTGGTATTCTGTGGTATGAATGAACCTCAGGTTGTTTAACCAGTGACTTGTTGAAGGATATCTGGGTTGTTCCCAGTTTGGGGAACTGGGAACCTCAGGTTGTTTAACCAGTGACTTGTTGAAGGATATCTGGGTTGTCCCCTCCTCCAGGAGTTGGAGGTTGCTGTGAGCTGTGATGCCACTGCACTCTGCTAAGGGCGATAAAGTGAGACTCTGTCTCTAAAAAAATAAATAAATAAAAATAAAACTGCCATGAAGATCTGTATACAAGTTTTGGTTTTTTGTTTGTTTGTTTTGTTTTTGTGGAGACAGAGTCAAGCTTTGTTGCCCAGAGTTCCTGGAGTGCAGTGGCCAGATCATAGCTCATTGCAGCCTGGAACTCCTAGGCTCAAGTTATCCTCAGGGCATGTCACCTGGTCTGTCTACCTATCTGCCTTTTTTTTCCCTTTGGTAGAGACAGGTTCTTACTATATTGCCCAGGATGGTCATGAAATCCTGGGCTCGGCCTGGCACCTGTGGCTTAAGCGGCTAAGGCACCAGCCACATACACCGAAGGTGGCGGGTTTGAATCCAACCTGGGCCTGCCAAACAATGATGGCTGCAACCAAAAAAATAGCCGGGCATTGTAGCAGGCGCTTGTGGTCCCAGCTACTTGGGAGGCTGAGGCAGGAGACTAGTTTGAGCCCAGGAGTTGGAGATTGCTGTGAGCTGGGATGCCACAGCACTCTACCCAGGGGGACAGCTTGAGGCTCTGTCTCA